CCTGCGTTAGATAGAAACAAGTCAATAATATTTGTAGATGGCGGCTTTCGGCAACCTTAAGATCTCTTTCAGTTGAACTCGTCACTCAAATGGATAAGGACGTACTGTTTCTGAGGGGCCAGAAAGCACTTTTTCGAGGACAACTGGTCTGATTTCAAGCGCAAAAAATATCGGTCGAAGAGGGCAATAAAATAGCAAGCTTCCATCTGAGAGAGGACCCAGAGAAGGTGTTTGTGCCTGGATCACATGCCTGCAGGACCAAAAGCGTTGTGAGTTGGAAGGCTACTGCAATGTCTGATTATTTCACTAAGCAACACAAAGGGCACAAAACTCTTCATCTGCGTTTAAAAGAGAGTGTGGTTGCGTCAGAGCACCTGGGGTTGCTGGTGAAGGAGGCCGGGGTTTTTGGAAAATAAACTGAACCGTTCATTACCAAGCGAGAGGCTAATACTACAGCGGCATCAGGTAGTGCTTTACACTAGTTTTGGTCTCAGTCAATTATAATGATGTTAAAAACAAAAACTTGTACCGAGTAATCGAGGAAGAAGTGCAATACGAATATATGTGTAATAATGACCAAAAGCGGTGTGGCGCGCCACGAAAGCCAAAGTTGGCGTGCTGATTAAGACAAAAATAAATGTGAACGAATGTAGTCTCTGGAAACCAAGAGCGGGTACAAGCTACCGAGGGTAACTTATGTCGATGCCAGCGCTGGCTTTGACAGACTTGAAGCGCCGTCTTTATTTCCCGTGGCACTGTCGCCAGAGACCATCTGAGGTGTTGTTGTGAAGGGTGTAACATTTTGAGAAACGACCAGACCGGGAGGGTCGAGGGAGGAGGTAGATGCAAACGGGTGCGGTGAAGGCACTGGCAGATAAGACAGAAAACTGGTGTCCAGAAAGCACCGAAATGTCAGTTTGCGACATAGGATCAGGAGAGAGGCTGTGGGCTGTACGCGTTCACAGAGCACTTAGATCTGTTATCTTGACCCATGCTTAGGCTGTAGTGCCGCTACACCGTACCGCTAATCGACTTGCCGTAAGAACTGGCCAGTTATCTAATATGGTCAAGAAATGTTTAAACCTTGCGAAGAGGCCGATGTGGCCTCGAATGTGCTGGCTGTGCACAGTAACTTGCAGCACAGGAACTTGCTTTATGCGCACTCATGTGTGTGCACAGTAACTTGCAGCACAGGAACTTACAATAACTTGCTTTATGCGCACTCATGTAAAACTAACGCCACGGAGCCAAGTGAGCCAGATTATTAAGACATTTACCCCGGGCAGGGCCCCTTTAGAAGGCCACGTCTGCTTGATTGTGGGTGAAACTTTTGTGCCACAGAATAGGGGCGCGGTACTTTAGAATACCCTTCTTTAGTCTTAGAAACCGAACGATATCTCTTGTCATCCTGGCAAAACCCACAACTTGGCTGTATCTCGTTATCTGGCCCATTTTTGCCTTGGATAATAAGGCTTTGTTTAAATCGATTTACGTGGTTATGCATCGGTAAATCACCGGCATTCTCTTCTGACATTCGTGGTAAGGATGATGATGACAGTGAGATCACTCGGTTGTCCTCTGTTTTCGTGAGATTGGTCACCCGTTTTGCTCATTGGTTCTCTGTCGTTCGTGAAAACTGACGTGCACCCTTGATATCCCACCATGGTGGTGGGATTCTGAGTAGCTCAGCAAATTTTCACTGTCTGGTCTTAGGGTCTTCCGTGATTTACAGGTTGCTTCTTATGGTGCTCAAGATTGACGAATTATCCTGAGCTCAAAATCTCAAAATTTCTTTTTGGATTGGACCCCTATTGAGAACAGGCTGTGTACCATGCAGTTAGCCTTGGCCATCAAACCTCAAAAGAGCGGAAATATGTATGACTTGTTCTTGGTATCTGTGTACGCTTCAATGGATTTCAGTGTATATGCTGACAAGAACGAAGTATATTGTTAACTTTGGACTATTACATGATGACCAATGAGTGCAGAGGTGAAAATGACAGATGTTAAGCTGAATACCCAGCCATAAACTTGAATGGTAAGTTTGGCGTTTCGTTTCAAAGACCGGACAGCGATGATTGATTTATTTAGTTGTGCGCAGACCATTGTTTATTGCAAGCATCAGCTTTAACAGAAAAGAACGCACACTGGTTTCTAGCGTCCTCCTAATCGAAGACAGCTTTTCACGCAGTTTGGTCACATTAAACTCAGTTGTCAGAGGCCAACGTACTTCAAAAACTGTGACTCTTTGTGGAATACCTGTACGGACTCCGCTCATGCTTTGTTATCCATTCTTTTGCCGACAGCAAATCAAAGGGTTTTTCCAACGTTAACCTCACTATCTGAAACGGCCACTGAACGAAATAAAGGTATCAAACTGCTATGAACATCAGTTCTGGCAGCTGAGCCGAAGTTCTTCAAGTTTTAATGACCACAGTTTGCTAGCCTGCCTATTTGAAAACTCAATGGCGACAAAACTCGTGTTTGGTTTTTAAATGCTCCGTCTCTTCCGTGGAAGAAATGGGAAACAGCCCTGTATTATGAGAGCAGTACTGCAAAATGATTGGACAGTAGCCCCAGACCAGAAAACTAACTATGATGGGTGGCTTTTGAAGTCAGCTTGGGAAATGGGAGAGGGTTTTACCATTGAAAGTAGCCATACTGTATTTCACCTTGTCCAAGCGGCCGGTTCAAAGAAACCTGCCTTAAAAATCGAGTCTGTTATTCTTCCACACATTCGTTCACAAAGTCTCAGGGAATGCTTTCGGTTGACCTTCCACGTAAACAACACTGCTGAAATCAACGGCCTGTGTAGAATAAAAATAAAACTTCTTAGTCCCTTCTGGAAGAACGTGTAAAACTACCTTTAAAAAATAAACAGAGCATCTTCCGCAGAGTTGGATCACTCACCATATTCAATGACCGTGAGGGAGTCGTTCAGCTGTGACATCCTTTCGCTGCCTAACTGCCATGCCACCAAAAGGAAGCACGAGGGCTGGGATACTGTCAGGTTTCCCAGTCCTAAACAGGAGAAGTTGAAATGCAGAGGTCGGGTTTGAACCACCAACCTTGGGGTCAGTAAATTCGCGCTATTACCACTGAGCCATCTCAGCCCCTCGTTTATTGGTAGTACGGCATGGTTTGAGAAACTTCAAGTCAAGATTGATTCACAGATGACCATAGGTATCTAGTGTCTTGGAAATCGCTGTAATGAATGATGCTCCGTGCAGTGAAAAATAATCGAATTCATTGGTTCCTCATAGTCAAGATTTGCTGGCTATTTTAACTACTGGATTAGGAAGCCTATAAACTAACAATCTATTACTTATCAAGAAAAGGGATATTCCTTTGTGTTTTGGATAGGTGCTTAAATTCCTGCTTGGTTTGGCTGCAACTCTCTCCACAATAGGGAACCTGCGTTACCTGTGGCGTAGGCATGAAATCAGCTTATCCGTCAAGGATCGAGTGTACCCTCTGCGGTGCGCGCCACACTACTATGCCGATCAGAAACCTGGCCGTTGCTCGCTGAGCATGTCAAAAGGCTTTCTGTGTTTTAGCATGTCAAAAGACTCTCTATTTGGCCATCGATGTCTTCGGAGCATTGCTCGAGTCCATTGGGAACACCGGATCAGCAATTTCGGATTGTAATAGTAAGAAATAACTCACTCTCGTTAGATGAACTGATCGCACTGCATCGGTTGTGGTGGCTTGGGTACGACCGTTTTCCTTGAAGGGTTCTTTTCGCACAACCACGTTAGGAGTGGAAGTTAGCCAGAGGCGGTCAAACAATAACTTGGCAGTGAAATATAAAAGCCGGTACAAGCAAACTCAGCTGCGCTGGTCGTTGCCGTCTTCCTATCCAGGAAGACGGGCCTAACCAATGGTTGGAGACATTGTCAGACATGGCACAGTCGCGCCTTCAATGGCGCTCGTGCATCCAAGCTATTGCCTTCCATGCATAGCTCCATTCCTAACTTCTACACTTGACAGTTCACTGACAGTGCTGTATTTAGGCACAGCTACCTACTCGCCTCCCCAAACCTTCGGTGAACGAAACTGTAGCAGCTACAACCACAATGGTGAAATCCAGGTAAGGTGGACATAGCAGGCTTAAGCTGTTTCAGTTTCACGTCGTTAGTAAATAATGATCGTGACTCAGCACCAGTCCTGAGCAACGGGTTTCGTTTAAGAGGTGGCTTGTAAAATGTCAACCTCGTCTGTAGGTGGTTAGTCGATCAGCGACTGAAAAATTACTGGGCTGTATCTAGAATTGGGGGGTAAATTCGCTTGTTTTGAGTTGCTATTCGCCCATTCTTTCATTCGGCCTCCGCAGTCAACGTCGATTCGAACAAATCAGACATTTACAAACACAAAAGTGTCATTTTAATGTCACTAGCGTTATTACAGTTGTCTTCCAGGAGAGAGGGTGTTTGGAAAGACCGGCTTTCAGAACAGATCATTTTTAGTTGATGAAATTTGGTTGAAGAAAAACGTCCGAAACAAGAAATCCAGCCGGAATGCAAATGAGTCTCTTGCGAAAACCGAATGAATATTCAAATGAGCATACCCGTTGAAGTGGCCGTTCATTCATATTTGAAGTAAGCGATTGTGTCTGACTGATCTCCAAGGCTTGTGCAAACGATGGGAGCATACGCATGACAATTATTGTTAGATCTTATAAAGTTCATCTTCACAATAAATAGTCTGGGTTAGTAATCCGCTGAATAATGTATGATAATATGCAGCAGTTGGTAGTAAAAATGATGCCTAACTCAGCATAGAAAGGATTATCATGGGATGAAATATGTGCACTTTTTATGGCCAACAATAGAAAGATTTAGTTGCTATGATAAGTATCAGTTTTCTGTACTGTTTTGTGATAGATAGATCGCTTCCGGGAACCGAAGCATCGTGCAGCGAAAACAACCGCCCCATAATTTTCAGCCTACCTATTTTTCTAATTCGTTTCGACCACCTTCATTTCATCTACTTCCTGACAGGATATTCCAGTCGACAACCTCATCAGAGGTGTATTTTCTGAGAATTTCCGATTTGCCCAGTGGTTCAAATTATTCTACGATGCAAATATCACCCAAGCAAGGTCGTTTGATGGCTTTGGAGACCAGGAACCATATGAAACTGCTCCAGGACTTATACAGCATCCACCCAGAAGACCTTATTCAGATTCTACGAGAGAATATAGGAAGGCTGAGGACAGGAATTCTCAACGTCCACCAGTCTATCCAGACTCTGCCAGGCAAAATAGGTTTTTCGATCAGATGCCAGTTCGGACGGATCATGGAGGACCGAGGACAGATTTACATGAGGAAGGGGAGGAAGTTGAAGAACCAACTGACGACGGTAAATTTGTCTTTGCGAGCGTGACCGGTATGGTTGTCCCGTTCCTATGCTATGGCTTGCCTCTGCTACTCTTTTACAATCAATGCAATTGTGACGTTTTGAGTAAAAACCGAAAATGTCGGGACTTCATCAACGATACCGGGAAACGATACCGGATAACATTCAAATAACTCTTCCCAGCCACAAGATGCAAACTGCGGACACTAAACTTAAAAGAAGTTTGGTAGTCGTACGTTAAGGTTGATGTAGCGTGGTCAGAGCCCCGGCTACCAAAGACATTGTTTCGGCAACTTCTGCTTTCTGGTAAGCAGAACCTCAAAGATAGGCATATTTTGAGTCATGTTCACATAAAGGTACTCTTGTGGTCGATGTCAGTTCATTGAAAAATCGCCTGAAATCTTTAACTGAAACAAACAATAGTTGTGGTGGCTCTTGTTTAAATTATGTGCATCATAGAGACGGATTTGTTTGTCCAACTACACTCATTTGCAAATAACGTTGTTATCGGAGGACTCATTTGAGCTGCAACTGAAGTTCTCGCTAATGATTTTTCCCGGAACTCAACTAGGATCCATTTTAATTTTCCCGTTAACACACACAGTTTTCAAGTGACTTGTTCTTTTACTGGATCACGATTTCTTATCAGTTAGAGAAAGGAGATGGGAATTCGGGGACTGCGCCTACCCATGAGCGCCAGGAAGGATGAAATTAGTAGTAGTCTGTCAAAGAGTTTTCAGTAGTCTTATATGTAGTGGCGTGTCAAGAAAAGGGCACGACTGCCGTCGACCTCATGCACAAGTAAAAGGACTACGTGTTGTATGAAGCTCAATTTACTTCTGGTACTGAAATGTCCATTGTTTAAATAGGAATGAGGATCGCTAGATGGTGTAAGGTGAGATCTAGTCAGATTCATTACGAAACTCCTATTGCATTCTCACAGGGGCAGATAACGTGAAATCACAAATTGCGATAGATTGTGCATCAGTCATTCATTTCTCCCAGAATATTATGAACCTTCTTTAACGCGTATCCTAGTTGAACATTTCGTCAAGGTCTAAGTGAAGTTGATGCATATTCCATCGAGACAGTCATCGCACGCGACCACTGTACGTTGCGGTCACGCAATCCTTGTATGTAGTACGCTACGTGGAACTGTCCAAGCGGAAACACCATCAAAGGGCGTTCAACGCTCCAATGCCTGGCCCACGGTTTCCGGGATTTCAGTAACGATTAGCCTGGTGATCTCGGTTGAACCGGTCGACTGAGGCGCGGTCGATTCGGTGTGATGTGTTTTAGTGAACACTATTGGCTGAGCGGCCCATGTGTTTCCTATGATGAATACTGAAAGCCGTATGGGGAAACATCCCACCATGGGAGATTATTACCACACGGGGACGATTGATTCACTCTGTTGATGTTACTGCGGTTGTCCATAGCATCGCACTTGTTTTACACGATATCTACAGAGGTGGAACCGTACATGCGAGTTCAGGTGGTTGTCGCGTCAGAACCATAAGCGCTTTTCCGATGCCAAGTACACGACCACACAGTTTAGTCTAATGAGCTTCTCTTTCTACACACTTTAGGAAGAAAGTAAAGCTTAGAGTATGCATTTGAATTCGGTGTAGAACTACGGCAAGAAAAACTCGGGCAATGCCATCTGAATGCTTGTGCTGCTTCGCGTGTATGCGAGAAAAAGGTCACTTTCTATCTGTTTGAAAACTGCGTTAGCCAGCCTTCCAAAATTATGAAAGAGGTTCTTTTGCTGGTACTTTCAGTCTTTTTTAAACGGTTTGTTGTCGTCTTCTGAATCTATCGGGGACCGGAATGGAGGCCAGTATTATCGTTTGGTAACTTTTTAGGCGGCCCAATTGTGGACTGATGTCTGGATTCTCGAAGACACTGAAAAATTCCACTCACAGCTTGTCAACTTGGTTCATGAGGCATGAAAGACAACATCAGTTATCACCGTAAATGTTAAATGGTGACTTCAACGTAAGCTGAGTAAGAATCCGTTTATAGACGCAATACACTACTTATAAGGTTGCTGAAAATCCTTTGGCGGCCCACGATCAGTTTCGTCCTCCTTGGGGCTCGTCAGGTAGGCGCAGTCCCCGAAATTCCGTCAACCTTATGTTCTACTTGAAACCAAATTGCACGAAATTTACGAAAAGAACTCATTTGCCAACTAATTTGGTTTTTGAGAGACTCACCAGGAACCCAGCTGAATCTCTCGTTTGTGATGTTTCCAGTCAACTGGATGTGCTGCGCCAGGCCTCCTCATGTTCCAGTCGCTACTATATTCGAGATATCACGATACATAATGCACTACTCACAAGGTTGCTGAAAACGAGAGATCCAGCTGGGTTCCAGGTTAGTCCCTCGAAAAACCAAATTTCTTTGGAAATGACTGTTTATCTCTAAGGTTCCTTGTAATTTTCAGTTAGTTAATTCCTCCCCCGTTGCTAGCAGCTAAGGTCTTTCGTGGAGCAAGCGGTTAGTCAAACTTAATCTCTTCTCTTTAAGTCTGTCCATTGTGAAGCGATGAGACCTAGAACGTTAATTACCCTCTATAGCGCTCATTCAATTTCCCGATAGACTAATGTTCGGATACCTCGAGCACCTCCGTTGAAGTTAACTGTATAGTCACTTGACCTTCAGCTTGAATCAAAGGGACAAACAGGAGAACAGACAAACCAGTTTGTCTCAGCTGACAGCACCTTAACTCTGTTTCATCCCTTTGGTTCACACAGGCAGATATCCCAACTGCGTGTCTAGTGTTGTTGCATAGGAATTCATTAACCGAGTCTAAATGGCTTATTGACGTTCCACTGAATCGTTCATAGGCCTAGTTCAAGGGATTTCAAGATTTCGACCCTGTCAAGACACTCACAAGCACCGTGCCTGTTAGAGAAAAAAAGCCTCCACTGCATAATTATTATTAGTCTGAAAGAGAATTGTACGACCAGTGAAAGCGCATTCATTCAACTGCACGATCTGAGAAGAATTCGAATTCCACACTCTTCTGCGTACCAATTCGGGTTTAACGGGAGGTTCATCTGGAACCCAGCTGATTCTCTCGTTTATGATGCTGTTACGCAACTGGATGGACTACATCAAGCCGCCTCATGCCTCAATTGTCACGATATTTGAGATATCGCGATACACTTCATAGACGTGATTTTATATTGTTCATGCATCATTATCCAAAGATTCACTTGGGTTCCAGATGAGTCTCACATCAAAAACAAATTGGCATGCAGACGAGTGTATACGTTGAATTTCGTGCAATATGGGTTCAAGTAGAACATAGAACATAGAACATAGAACATGTTGACAGAAACGCGGGTTCAGGTGGCTGGGATGCTATGCGACCTTACAAAAGAATTTTTATATTGTTTCCTTACTGGACAATTGGATGGTACTATTGTTTAACAATAATTCATGCGGAAGAAACTAATGCTCTCAAGAAATACACTCATTTGCAAATCAATTTGGTTTTCACAAGAGACTCAACTGAATCACTCGTTTATGATGTTCTACAACTGAATGTGCTGCACACAGGCCGCCTCATGATTCAGTTGGCACGATATTCGAGATATCGCTGTATATTTTCATAAAGGAAACTAATGCTCTATTCCTCAGCTGGGAGAATACGAAGTTGCGTAGCACGCCGAGATCCAGCAAACTTGCAAAAATAGCTTGGTTGCTCTTGGGTAAGAGCCAAAGCATGAACAGTCTAGTTCAGCTGGCTATTCGAGCGAATAAAATACCTTTTTTTCTAATGAGTGCTTACGGATGGTCTCTTTTGACCGGACAACTACACTGTTAACATGTGGTGAAAGATACATGTACTCTGCAATCTATTTATCCGTAGCACGTCGCCGTGTGATTTCCTACTTCAGACAAGGAGTCGCTATCAGGAGCAACTGACAAGAAGTTTCGCAAACAATCATAGTTTCCCGTTTCTTTCTTCTTATTCTTTCATGTTTCAAATCTCGTGCCTCCGTACGATTTAATGACAGCTCTCTACGGAAAGGTGATCATTTCGAATGGTTTATTTTTTTAAAACTGGTAACCATATGGGATTTTCCACAAGAAACTACGTCTATTCCACCTCACTGGGGATGACGGCGACAGGATGGAAACCAACAACGCATTCAGATGGTATTCAAAGAGAACCTTAGTCCAGTTTGATCATCATCACCATCAAAGACAGCAACATCAGTGTTGACACTGATGCTTCACTACCGTACAACCCAGTTTTGAGCGGTTAACTTGTGGAACATGGAAGTTGTATGGAGCATGCACTTTAGTAAGCGGAAGCTCGGTATACCTACTCGGTGATGAAGTCAACGGGAAAAGGTCCAACCTGAATTTACACGTGCTACTAACTTGGCACCAACTTTTAGTTCATGACCGTTTTTGTACGAACCTTGATTGAGAACTGCTCAGTTCATGGCACTGCACGTCTGAAGCTGCACTTTCAAGACCCTGCTGAGCACGATGAATGTTTTTGGATAATTGAAGCGTAATGCAGCAAACTCAGTGGCTCGCTCTTTATCGTACTTATCCATCCCGATTTTATGGTATTGATTGACTGGCTAGGTTTGACTCACTCGGGTATTTTGAAACTGTTTCTGTGTTGATGAAGCGCAATGTGATTGAGACTCAGTATTACTCAACCATTGGGATATATAATCAACGCGTTTTCCCTGCATTTATAGAGTTTATGCAGAATAAGACACAAGGGCATGATCTCTCACAACCACCAAACCCTGAGGGCGGACGTCTTTCAAGTGAAGAACATGAGTTTACAGGATATTTCACTTCAAATGACGCTACACAGTTTTACCATTCAGAAGGTTCTGGTAACAAACGCTTCACGGAGTCGAATAGTGATAACCGTTTGGTTCAGACTGCTAGCTTTGCCAAGCGTCGTACGAATAGTTTCCGTTCTTCGAAAAATTACGGTGATAAACTGCCCCCACCTTCTCCTTTGCCAACAAATCAATGTGGTCTGGTCGGAAATCACACGGGACGTGGACCTGGTACACAGAAACAAGCTGTCGAGAACTTGCTTGCCTCTGGGGATAGACCGATGTCGGCAGTAATGGCTTCAGCGGACTCCGTATCGCAAGTACAGACACGTTTACCGGAATCTTCACGAACAGCCAACGCGCCACACGCCCCATCTTCAGTGGTGGAAGAGGAATCGGTAAACACAACAGTGTCGAATAGTTCAAGGAAAGTCATGCCAAAACACATTGCACGCGCTAACCAACGGATGAACATCCCGACAGCTCCGAATGTATCTCCCAACGTCTTTCTCAGCACTCCGTCAAAACCCACCACACGTCCACCAGCATACCCGCAACACATTTTTGACCCTCGGCCAAGCGATTTAACGTCAAGTGGACTAGGGACTGAAGCGGAACTGCAACGCGAACTAGCTCTACTGCGCTATGGGGTATGCCTCATTTTTTTTACCTTCAGTGTAATCTATTGTTAGTAGTCTCGACTGCACCTTCATGTATCCAATAACCTAGAAGGAATATCCTCGCATCATGCCGGTTTACCACCCCAACGACCAAAAAATGCACATACAATCCACCGTTGCTACATTCCTAGACAGATGAAATGCGTTGTCGACTGTTCCTTCCGATGCCACATAAACTATGTTCAAGGCTAAAACAAATACCTTGCTGCTCACCATGGGCTTTCACAAGGTAACCTGTTCAACACTGACAAAATCGACAACCGAGTTGTGGTTGACTCTTTGTTGAACAAACTCGAAAAGTGATTTTTCGGAATGTGAAATTGAGGAACTCTTGACCAATAGAGTATTGCGTTTGGACATTAGAAAATCCCACTTGTGAGATGCTTGGCAGCCAATTTCGCTTCGCACATCGTCTGAGCGAGCCAATCAGTTCAATTTATCGGCTAAAAACCGTGCATCATGGGTACGCAATTTCGATCAACTCCAATTAGCGCTGTCCTACCATTGTACTAACAACGGAACTTTTTTTTCCTTAGGGTAAGAGATAGAACACAGATTTGATGATATTCTCCGCTTTGTACGCATTCCTGTGTAGTTTTTACTCTAAAACTACAGTTTTCAACCAGTCCTGCTAACTGTTGTTACGGCAACGGTCCACCGCACACTACTGTCAGGTCATGAATTTACTTCTTGAAGATCTTACAACTAAGACAACACACATGACCTCAACCACAAGCCTCTTAGGGATTAAAGTACATTTGCAACGCAGATTGTTGTTCATGCAGACTGTTGCAACATAAGCCCTTCCGATTTTTATCTGTCCTATTCCGAAGCGTTGTTTTTTTTTGCATAATTGTCCGGGGTTCAATAGGACGATTCATTTGCTGGAAGTTGAGAGGGAGTGCTGATCGGCCTGTTCTGAAAGTTTGCCTCGTTTGGAGGGAAAACGAACACACTTTATTGAACTGTGGCTAGATTAGAAGTCTTAGTGCAGTCTTGATAGCATTTCTCATTGATCGTTTTATGCACCCCTTCAACAGAGTTTGGAGCAAAGACGAACCTTGTTCTACTGCCAAAAGGAAGCACAGTTCTATTTCAGTAAACTTCGAAAAATTGAAGATTTCTGCTATCGACTAAAAACCGGGTCGAAGCAAGCACGTGAGGACATACTAGACACGATTTTTGGCATTCTTTATGAGACAGAGGTAAGCGGATGTGTAAGTTTTGAATACCTTTTATTTCAATTTTTTAACTTGTTGAGCTGAGCAGGTCCTTTAACGTTATGTTACAACTCTTGTGGGAAGTGTGGCCAATCAGCTGCGCCGGCCCGAAGATCAACAACCCACGTTACTAGGTTAGTGTAGTCTATTCCACAAGTTATCTTAATCGCAACTGACAGTTGTTTGAGATGATCTTTCTTACGAGATCAGTGAGCATTTTGGCAGTATGTTGGTTTGATGACCAAGACAAACAATGTACGTCATTCCATCGAACCAGCTGTTGTTTTTCCAAGAATAAAACAAAGGCTCTAGATTATTTGGCAATCGACCATACTGGTGCTCCACAATAGTATCAGACAATATCTTCTAACCTTGTGTAAGTGATCGATGAAAAATAATTAGGTCACGGGATCGCTTTCCGCAATCTTCCTCCAAGTCGGTTCGGCATCTGAACAACTGGTTCCTCCTGGCTAACTTACTGCAATGAATTTTCAGAGGGAATATCACCATTTGGGACTCGTATTACTACCGACCAACCAATCGAAAGCAGGATTACAGGATAAGTGCAGTTTCGAACCAGACTGAAGATTTGTGAGCTTCACACTACCGATGTTTACCAACAGGAATAAAGTGATTTTTCAGCGTGGACTGACTTCACTTGTTGGATCCATAAATTCTCTTCACTGTCGGAAACCGTGTACATCATCAGCGCACTCTCCTTTCCTTGTGCACGAATTCGTTAGGCGGACAAACATCACATGACTGTGGTTTTGGCAATGTGTCGTTTGGAGCTGCCGTGGCTCTTTTTTGGTGTATTCCAAATGCATATTTCGGATACGTCTATATTGTTCCATGGATCCTTTTTCGCCGTAACCTGCACATACCTACCCTTGACTTAGCGAAATACACTCATCTGCAGACTAATTTGGTTTTGCGAGAGACTCACCTGGAACCCAGCTGAATCGCTCGTTCGTGATGTTTCCAGTCAACTGAACGTGCTGCACCAGGCCGCCTCATGTTTCATTCGCTACTATATTCGAGATATCGCCATACATGTATATTCGTAATGTACTACTCATAAGGTCGATGAAAATTCGTCGACAGCCAACGACCGGTTTCGCTCTTCTTGGGGCTAATCAGGCAGGCGCAGTCCCCGAGTTTCCGTTAACCATATGTTCTCCTTGAAACCAAACATCAAATGAGAAATTCAACTGGGTTCCAAGCGAGTCTCTCGAAAGACCAAATTAGTTTGCAAATGAATGTATTTCGCTAATTTCGTGCAATTTGGTTTCAAGTAGAACATAAGGTTGACGGAAACTCGGGAACTGCGCATATCTTATGAGCCCCAAGAAGGGCGAAACCGGTCGTGGGCTGTCAAAGGATTTTCACCAACCTTATGAGTAGTGTATTACGAATATACCCTTGGCTTATTCGGTGAAATTTTTTCTATCTACCGAGCGCTATCGTCTTTCACTTTGTGCCAAGGTCTTCCTTCCTATTACTGTCGGAGATCGATGATAGGGACAAGGGCATGCGACATCATTTGGGGGTACATCCACCAAGTACCAGGATGATACTACGATTGCATAGTTCAGTCCTACACTAATCACCGAGAAATCCGCGTGCTCGGGAAATTGACCCGGGGCTATATACCACAATCAAGTACGGATGAATGGTCTCGAAAAAATCGATGGACTAGGTTTCCAAGGTAGACAATATGTAGCATAGTGAACCTGTTTCATCCATAGCCCTGTGTCATAGCAATACGAATGTGGCATTATCTTTGCCGCGTGCAGTAAACCAGCTCGATCATATAGCACACCTAACAGAACTAGCACGTGGTTCAACTACACTCATTTGTTCACCAGTTTGGTTTTAACGCAAGACACCCGAGTCCCAGGACAATCTTTTGTTTATGGTGTTCCTCAATCGAATGTGCTGCACGATGGTTGCCTCACGTTTTAGTCGGTACGATATTCGAGATATCGCAGTACATTTTCCTGAGGGAAACTACTCACTACTCTTGGACAGTTGGTTTTGACCTTCTTGGAGCTCATCAAGTAGGCACAGTTCCTGAGTTGAGACTTTTACTCCAACAGTGTAATGGCTGGTGTGTCACAAGTCACATACAATGGACAATGAGTGATCTAACTATCAGTGACAAAAAGCTCTAGGCGCTCAGGGATATAACCAAACGCGTAATCAGTAGTAAACTGTTCTTCACGGAGGACGATCTGGTTCATGGAAATCTCGGAATGATACCTTTCGAATTGATAATTGGTAATTTGGCACACGCACGTACTATGAGTTTGGGGACGAGATGGACAAAGTGGTTGGAGCGCAAATTTGCTGACCGGAAGGTGCGTGATTTGAACCCAACCTCTGCCTCTCGACTCCCCCTGTCTAGGCTTGGGCGACCTGGCAGTATCCCAGCCCTCGTGCTAGGCACCGGAATGGTGTTACAGCTGAACGATTTTCGTGAGTTTGGTTCAACGCGGAAATCAACCGGGGTTTCTAGATCGCCGAACAGTTTGTTCCATTGCTGACCGTGCCAAGAAACGGCATTTGCACAAATGATTTTACCCTGTGTCATGCGAGTTCGCTTTATCACTCTTCTTTATATCCCTAACTGGAAAGTACGTTGGGAAGACGGATTACTCTAACCCTAAAGCACAGTTAGTCCGACCAGGCACTATTTGGACTAGCCTAGTCACACATTGGTGGTGTTTTGCCTTTTAAACATGCAGAATTATTAAGACCAGATTTTTTCAGCTATTGATGGGACAGAGTGTCGATATAGCAACGTGAGAGTAACCGATGAACAACATTCAGCATCTATCCGGTTCAGTCACATCTTGGATTTGGAACTCGAGTCCAGGCTTATTGACGTTCCTTGTATGCAGTAATATTAATAAGTAAAAGAGGGGCTTGGGTCTTTATATAATCACAAAAGCGTTCCATGTCAACTATATACATGGTTCTGCAGCTGAAACATGCTTGAGATTATCTGTTTAAGACTATCTTCCTTGCTTGTTGTAATCACCCCTTGTACACGGCTGAACTTTCGTGTTTCCTCTTCTCGAATTCATGAATCCATTACCAGCAAACTCAGCTGCACTGGTGATTTCCGTCTTCCTTGATGGGGACCCCAAGACGGGCTACATGAATGGTTAGAGACATTGTCGGATATGGCCCAGTCGCGCCTTCAATGGCGCTCGTGCATCCAAGCCATTGCTTTCAATGCATAGCTGCTTCCCAAGTCCCCCCACTTGACAGTCCACGTACAGTGCTCCAGCCTCCAACGCGCAGCTACCTACCCCACCTCCTCGAATCAGCGGTGAACGAAACTGTGACAGCTACAACCACTGTACGACAAGTATGCGGTTATTACAGCTGACAATAATGATGATGATGATGATGATGATGATGATGATGATGAAGCAGTATGTGCTGTCCGTTGTGCCACGTTGTGATGCGAAACCACTCGATGTTTGCACAACCGTGCCGTAGAAAGGAAGCAATTATCTAATATAACGTTCGTTTTGGTGTAGCTGTAACACCCTTTTCGGTGTCTAGCTGCCACGAATGAACAACGTGGGCTGAGATACTGCCAGGTTGCCGATTCTTAAACAAGATGATGAACCCATCGATGGTCGAGGAAACAGTGGGAGTAGCGGAAAATTCAGTATCCCATTCGCACTAAGGTGTTTTTGTTTGTTAAACTTTAAAAAAAGCTTCGGTGGTTTGGTCGTGTATTACGCATCGCACATCTTGCTGAAAAGAGTGCTGTTCTCCGTGTTCAATTTACGGTACCACGACCCGCCAGAGGGAAATAAAATCAATCGGGACTTGCCACAGAGGACGGGGTCTGCCTGATCCGCCCTGCACATGGTTGGATACGCTGAGATATATCAATGCTAGCCGACTTCAGTTGTTAGTTTCTATCCAGATTGTCTGAATGTGGAGGTGTAGGCACCTGCGAATGATTGTGGTAGGCTATGTCCTTTCCCATCCATATTTATTCTTTTCTTCACAAGAAGACTTTTGAATAAATTATGGTTGTACAGCAGCGAGACATCGGTGTTGAGAACAGATGTTTTGCCGTCGATGATGACTCTTAGCGGTGATGTGATAAGTTACCTTGAATTTGTCATTACACTGATCTGATTTAGCTAGCACGGCAACAGTCCACCGAAATATTCATCAAATTTTGAAGCATATTTAGGTTGCTCAACTTTTCACAGATTCATCATCATCATCATTGACAGCATGACATCTGTGTTCAACACCGATGCTTCACTCCCGTACAACCATGATTTATTTGAAAGCCTTGATGTGAATAAAAGAGTAAAGGTGGACGGGGGAGGGACTCAGTGTTAGCTTATCACAATCATTCCGAGGTGCCCATACCTCCAGAAACTCATTCAGGCAATCTGGATAGAAACTGACAACAAGAACGCCACTGACATCGGTTGGCAGCCATATCTTGTAGTGTCTCCAACCAGGCACAGTGGGGATCACGCGGTCCCCATCCTCGAAGGCGAGTAGCACCGACAACACCCGACAACACCTTCCAAGTATGCCAAACGAAAGGCGAGTAGCACCGACAACACCCAAGCAATACCTTCCAAGTATGCCAAACGGTCTTCTCTCTCATCATAAGGGATCTAGCTGTTCACTCCACAAAAGCAGTCTCAAAGCATGGTTTCGCCAACAATTGTTTGGCGATATCTTTTACCCTAGAATTTGCACATGGTTTTGTCAGAAAATTAGTTGAGCCTAATATATGACTCAACAGCATTTATGTGGACCATTCCAGTAGGTTGTGATCAAGAAACCACTTTCATCTGTCAAACACCGGCACAGTTCGTCCGCCCCGGGGCAGGTTCTACACTCTTCCACTGATCGATTCCAACCTTCCAAGTTGTAACGTCGAGTCACTTTTTTTTGGAATGGCGGCGTTGTAACCACTGTCACATTTTTTCTCGTTCGACGGCATATCAACCCGACCTTCTCAAGATCATCCGTTCGGCCACCTGTTTACTAATTGCTCTGCGGGATGAACGTATCCCCCCTTTTAACGTGGCTTCCCGCGTGTCAACACAGGCGGTAAGGTATCGCCTGCGCCGAAATCCTCTGTTACAAAAATAATCGAAATGAACTTATCTTGTGCTGTTAATGTGCCTTTTCTGTCCCAAAGCTGGACAAACGGAACAACCTTGTGTGAGGTTGTAAGTGATACGAATTAAGGTAAGTGGACTTTTTGGTGATCTCGCAACAAAAAAACCAAATCAGTTTTGATGGAAATCGACGGACGGGAACAAAACAACATGGGGAGTGCAAAAAACATGTTTGAAAAGGTCAGTATCTCATTTACGGAAGATATTACCTTTAAAAATTAAAAGTGGTAAGAGAACTTGCATGAGATACCTTGTATTAACCTGATGGTTTATCAGTTGTCGGTGAAGCAGAACTAATGGCTTGCAGTGTCCTGTGATGAGTTTGTCTCGGTAATGTGCATGGAGTTGTAAGCGCACGTCCGTTATACACTTTACCTTTTGCTTTATGCCTTAATGTTACAGATGATAACTTATAATGAGTTTGCTCTGCAATTTCCCTTTTTAGGAGGGTTTTGTTTGTCCTGATGAGTTGCCCACGTGACGGTGATAGCAGTCAAAACAACAGAGGCGCCGGGAACAACAGCAACAACGAGAAACGGTTGGCAAGAACGGGGACTTTGGCCGGCCAGTTTCATTTACAATAATGCGTAGGCTTCTGCAACCCCGAATGCCACTTTGTAATATTTCCAGTTGACTCTTTCACTTATTTTATCTTTCTTGAAGCGCAGTTCAACAGACTCGAGACCAAAAACATCAATGTACAGAAGAACGTAGAAAATGGGAGGTGTGTAGCAAGATCTGCAGCCGTTATGCTTTGAGTGTAGTTCTGTTATACACTTACGAATACCTTCGCTTTCTCACCTAACAAGAGCAGTTGCACAGTATAGTGCTATTCTCACATTTTCCCCTTCTCGGATAGTTTACTTCGGGGTTGTTCGATTTGGTCATGTTGAACAACCTACGTATGGCACCTATCCAGTAAATATGCCGCTTAAAAGCTTCACTGTTGATTTTTTAAAATTTTCCTGCAGACCAAGTGCAGGTTGGAAAGGGAGTTGAACCTGCTATGGGACTTTAGGTTATTGGTAACAATGTTTAAGTCGACCGATTACTAATCTGTCAGGCATCACCCTGGACCAGCGATTTCATGTTGCGAGAGAGTTGGTCGTTGATATTACTCAGACCCCAAGCATTTAAAGTTAAACAAAAAAACGGCAGGGGGACGATTGTTCAAACAAGAGTCATGCTAGAATGCATTCTACAAAATCCCGCAACCAGAAACAAAATGTGTCCAGCAGCTTTCAAGTGTCTGTGACGCTACCTGACTGGCAGTCTAGTCGATCGACACAACCAGTGTATGTCACTGGGTTGTTGTTTGAGGTGTCGAGCTTTCCGCTCACATCACTCAAGGACGAACATGTTCACCTGTTCAAACTTAAAAAAATTCGGATGAGTTCAGTCCAGTAGACCGGACACACTCACCTCGCACGTCGGATGTGTGGAGTTCACATCCCGGCATGACCATTAGATATGCACTGCTGATGAGCTCTAATAAGAGCGAAACTCGGGTTCATTGATCCCCCTTGGTGTGGACTCACCGGAATGTTTGAGCCAGGAGAAAAGGAGGATTGTCCGAACGAGTCATGTCGGTATACATTCTACAAAATCTCGCAACCAACAACACCTGAAAATAGTAAATGTTTTGTACTCACCGGAATGTTTGAGCCAGGAGAAAAGGAGGATTGTCCGAACGAGTCATGTCGGTATACATTCTACAAAATCTCGCAACCAACAACACCTGAAAATAGTAAATGTTTTGTAAGTGGGAGACAATGGGTGTGTGTGGGTGGCGATGTTTCAGTCTCGGCACCATTACCCGGATGTTTTCGAGTTCAGAAATCTTGTCCAAGTAACTATCTTCATTTCGCTTCGGTTGAAACGCACCGGTTCTAATTCGGAAGACGCTCCACTCAGTTGTGGTCGTGTGCTTGTTACCACTTACGGGACCTCGGAAGAAGTGCACGGGTGGACACTCATTTTATGGATTGTGACGTTTCGTTTTAGGATCTGTCTCAGCTACAGTTCTGGTTCAGTAAATCTGCACCCAGAAAAGAGATTTAGCTCCATTTCATTACCTACTTGCCGCCCAAACCCGAAGAAACGCCAGATACTGCCAGGTTATGCAAGCCTAGACAGGAGCTATCGGGAATTTGAGGTTGGGCTCGAGCCACAAACCTTCCAGTACGCTTGCGTATATGAAGTGTGTCCAAGATTCTCAACCAAATGCGTGAACATAAGTGACAAGCGGCACATGGATATGTCAGACAGGTAAGAAACTAGTCAGCTTATGCGGCGGTAAACATCGTTTTGCTCTACCTTACTGGCAAGTGGCGTTTGGTGATGATCATCCCAGGGTACTCCCCCGTAGGACCACTCACAATTGTACGGAATTTTCCGGTTGCGTGAGCTTCATGCTGCTGGGCCTCTAACACTGCTCTAATGCAGTACTGAATTGGTTGTTTCCACGTTCCGAGGTAAATTTTTAGGGTCGTTGGTTTGCATGAACTGTTTTCCCATCAACACATTGTTAAGAGTCAGTGCTCAGTTGTGCCAGTTGCTGTGCGCAAACACTGATCTTTTACTCCTCAGCGTCGCGCGAGTAATACCACCCCGGTTGATGATGAAATTTCGCATTTAAATTGTTTATTTCAAGGACCATCTACTTTCGCTTAGCAAATATATTCCAACTAGCCTTATATTCTCTTATTCTTAGACGAGATATTTTCAAGTGAATTGGCCACCTTGACGCCCGATTTGGTTAGTTTGCAAAGCTGCAGATTGACTGCCAGAAGTCAAGTGTCGTGGGTTACTCGGGGCTTATGTTGTAACTTGCCGAAGGATAGTGCAACTCTGTATCGGTCCCTTGGCTTCCTGCTCCGCCCGATATGGCATACCAGAAGGCACGGTAGCTCTACACAGCCCTTTATTGAGACAAAGGAAAATTATTACAACTGTGTTTATAGGGTAGTCACGGAGTGTTCCACAAAGTCGTGCCAGAATTTCCGCGAGAGGGCGAGAAGCTTCGAGTCATAGGCGCTTGACTCGGATTGGCTGTCATTCTGACCAATCAGGGCACGCCTTCATTTGGCCCGTGTCCTGCAAGTGACATCCGTTTAAATTATTTGATGTTCGTTATTAGGGACGGCTGGCCTCCGTGCACCTTCCGCTTGAGAAGGCTGTTCAACGGACTGCTGCTTTGAACTCCAATGTGACGACTCATTGAGGTTCTGTCGCATGTAGGTCTGTCCCTGGGGCTGCCAGCATGCCAATCTGGAATCCGGTACCCTCCACTTGGGAGGTATGTCACGGCTGTCAAGCGTCCCATGCGACGTGGTCCCCTCACTGAGCCGCAGTCTGTTGCCTGAAGTTGGTTCACATGACGCGGCTGTGCTGATGACCTTAAGCGGGCCTCGTGTTTGACGTAGTCGACCCTGCGTCCACCGTGGAGAGCATTCCTCATATCTTCGAAGCAGTGGCTGGTGTGTGACTGTTGTGGCGTTCCTCTTGCCCGCCCCCTTCCTTGACATTCCGGATAGCAGTAGAACGATCCGCCTGAATCTGCGACTGTAAACTGGAGGGTTCAGACCGCGGGTGAATCTTTGCGGGCTGCTGACAGGGTTTACCAAATTGGACCGAGGTAAGAGGGCTGCTGGTGCCTGACGCCAGGAGCTGAGTAGTCGCTGTGCCGCGTATGCTCCATCTGGTCTCCGGCTTGGCTGTCACTGTAGCGAGCAGAAAATCGTCAACATGTTATGTTCTCGCGAACGTTGTTTTTGTTTTGTCACAAACGGCATTGAGGGGTTCATCCGACAGTTGAAGCTCATTAATCCAATCCAGGCCCAAGAGATCAAGGCCTGTATAGTTCGTTGGGTCCCCTTGAACATTACGGAACAGTTCAGCTTCCCAGTCAGCTTGGGGCTTTCATCAGCTGCATTACGGACGGTGTACTTTGTGAGTTCCACTGTTGGCCTTCCAATTACGCTCCAGGTTCGTTTTGAAATCAGAGTGTGGTTAGAACCTGTATCCAGTTAAGGGTAACTGGTATGCCATTGACGAATTTTCATCGACCGGGTGACTTCATCGCGAATGTGGCGGTCATGGCCTCTGTCTGAGTCCTTTGGTCGGGTCGGTGTTTGCGCGAGCTCCTGAGGCTGTTTCTGCAGCATTCTTCTTTGTGGCCCTTTCGACTGCACTTACTGTCTCTGTGATTCCAGTAGGGATAGTGGCGTGAATGGTGCCATTCTTCACAAAACCAACAGGGTGGTGGCGTGTTTCTTGGATATCGTTTAGAATTTGGCTTCCTTTTGGAAGTTACTTTGCATACCATATCCGGCTGAGAGATAAGTGCATCTCAGCCGGCCAGAAAGAGAATCGCTACGGAAGAATCCAGTTTACTTTTTGCGTTCTTGCCGTTTTAGTCGGGGATACCCATACAGTGCGACAAAATCCTGCTGACGTGGTCACAGTTTAAACTGATGCAGCCGGTTAACTCATGATTTTGTTTCGCTATCAAAAGGCGGATTATGTGCATGGAGGCACTAGCGAAGGGGTATGCACAAAAAACACCTGTCATTAACAAAAAGTTTCTCAAATTGCAGCGGTCAACCTGATGGTAATTCACTTGGTTACGTAAGCCAATACGCCTGAAAACCTGGCTGGTGGCATATGTCGTTATGAAGTAAATGAGTCCCGACTTTCTCACCAGTTACAGAGGCAAGTGATGTGCATCTCGTATTCGTGAGTTGGCTGGTGACTGTGCTGATTGATCTTCTGGAATTCATGTTCCAAACTATTGGTCTAGTGTGCGAGTCTCTTAAAATGCCCGTTTGCGTTCTTTGGTCGGTTACTGGTAAGGTTTTTGAAGTGAACCAACACGTGCTTTGCATGAATGGTACAATGGCGAGTGATGTACAGCCAGTGGATCCTCAGTTAATAAATAGATTCAGGGGCGGTTCTCCGCGGGGATTCAAAATCCTGGCCAAATCTAAGTGGTTGCTACCTAGTGAACGGTTACTTAATTGGCCGCGTAATCAGAAAGAGCCATGCATTTTAATACGTTTTGGAAATAGCTTACAAGGAAAACGACATACTTTCTAGTGGCTTGGTGCGCACGAAAAGAGAACAGCATTGTCGCGACCGAACATGTTTCCGGCAATTCGTATCATCTGTGTGTCGTCTCAATGATCATTAGCTTCAAAATGCAGCGCTGTCATCATATAATCCTCATAATAATATTCCTGAACAAAATGAACAGTTCGAGTGGCCCAAGATACTCGTTTTAAACGAAGTCATAAAAGACCAATCGCACGATCTCCACAACTTCCATCGCCGGACGAAACATGTGGCTAAGCGCGCCACAGAATCTTCCAGCATAAAAATGCCACGTTCGCGGAATCTTGTAAGAACACACATGTAATATTCCCAAGCAAGGAAGAGGTTACTTAGACCGACGTAACGACTTAGGTCGACACTGGACGCGGTGGTTGTAAATAACTTGGGCGGTCAGCACCTGCGGCGCATCGTCGCACCTTCGGTGGCCGGTTCTCGTCTTTTAGCAGAACTATGTAGTTTAGTATTCATCTAATGTCAAGTGTCGGTTGACAGAAAGCTTGTGAAACGGAAACTTGTTTATTGGGCATTTATGCTCCCGGTGGAAGGTGTCATTACACCGGCGGAGACAGAACCTCGCCTAAAAACCATTACATAGCTTGTTGTATGTCGAAATAATCCGTCAAATTTACCAGCTGTGACAAAGTCCTTGCATTGAATTTGCCTGACAGAACACCTACTGCAACAACAGTGAATCGTTTTGTACTCAAATCATGGATAGGTGCTCCTATTCTAGCCTGGCGGACAAGAACGGCGTAACTGTTTTCCATAATAATATTTTCGAAAACAGTGAAGAATAGTGAAAAACACCCAAAAGATCCTCCACGGCCTTTGAA